GCCTTCTAGCTTGCTAATATTGCCTGTAATCTTTGTTCCAGTTGACCTTTAAAAGTAGCTAGAAGTTACAGTTTGTAGTACAGCAAGTTTGGCAGAGGAACATACATGATTATTCATATCATTGTTTAAACGGTATCCAGATGTGTCTTGTTTTTCTTCTTTTTTTCCTATTGTTTTTAAAAAGTGATGTTAATCCAAGATGTTAATCCGTTTACAGGGTTTTTCCACAGCACCAAATTCCCCTTCGGTAAATTCACGTTCCATTACCTTGGGCCCATCCCTGTCCCTTGGAAACATCTCAGGAATGACAGCAAACCCAGAAATGAAGAAGCGCAGGGCACCTCCTCCACCGGTTGTGACGCCTCCATTGCAGAACATGGAGATGAGCGGGCAGGAGAAGACAGCAGTGCAGGTAACAGTGACATCACACAACACAACAACAACAGTGCGTTTTCGCTAAGCGCACTGGCTATTAATCAGTTTGTTCGTCAGCGCTAAAGTCATTCGCAGATATTTTGGCTAGCCATTACCTCCAGCATGCTGAAACTCTTGATTTTAGAAAATACAAAATTGATCAAAAGTCTTGGAGTTTTGTACATATTTGCTGAGCCTGCTTGGGACTGCCCCAAGCTTTCCCCACTTTCAAGTTGAAAATTAAATGGGTGAGTAGATATACTTATTGGCCAGGATAATCCTGGAAAACAGGTGACTCCTCTAATGACTGATGAAAATCTTCAGCACAATTTTTTACCCGGGGTACTTGTCAGGATGTTCCCTGCAACCCTATTCTCAGTGCTGCAGTGGGACGCTAGAAGATCTGCCCTGCTTTCTGAGCTGGGCCATGTGATCTGTTATAAAGCAATCCTCTGTTTTACCATTTTTAAAAGGTCACCATTCCGTGACACAGTCACCTGGAATTACAAGGAATAGGGGAGGAGGGGGGAGGAGGACCTAATTCTTTGAAAAAAGGATTTTCTGGGAAAAGGAATGTGTTCTTGTTTTTATAGTGTCAGTCAGGTATGTATGTTATTAAACGTACACATACAGATTAAGACCTGGTTCCATCAACAGAAGTACTATACTGTAAAGATAAACTTTAAAAGTCAGTGTGTAAAGTTACATGTAGATGCCAAATAAGAAGAGAAGCAATCAATCCCTAATTTCAGGGCCAGGTAGTGTGGCTGCACCTGCCCTGCTTAGGGCTTGTCACAGCTCTAGCAGATTTGTCTTTGAGAAAGCAAACTGTTAGTCCAAAAAGGAGCCAGGGAGCAGTCTTTGAGTTCAGTATCGTACGTGGCGAGAAGTCCAGTGCTCAGTCTCACTCCCTGTCCCTCTTTTATTTGCCTATGTTAACATACTTTAAGTACCTTAGCTGATAGGGTATTGTGTCAGCAGTGCTGATGCGCAGCCTTGGTAAAGTTAATGGCTTTTTTCATTCTTGTATGCTATCTCACAAATATACATAACTCGGACAATCTCAGCCTGAACTAGGATTGTGGGAGCTTATTTTCCCATTCTTAAGATAGCTAGAAGGGTGACTGCTGGGACGTAATGGTGTTTTATGTTATCTTTCAGAGTCTGAATAGGTGCCTTTTGAAATTAACACTTATTTATAGACAAAGCGTAAGAGAAATGAATGTCTTATCTTGTGACATTTGGTGAACTTTCTCTTTTTAAATTCCTTTTGAATTTCCTACTGGAAATATTTTGATGTGGTTTCTGGTGTCACCTAGAGCTAAACATCCAAGGCGTTTAAGATAAATAGATATTTCTGTTAAAAAAAATATACAAATAGATAGATATTACGGCATTATAACTTAGAAGTTCATGCAGGTATAGTAATCTCAGTCTCGGGCTTATCTTCATGTAGCGTGGCACTGACGTTTTAAATCGTGCTGCATGAAAAACATTGAAAAGCTAAACTGTTTTTAAATAGGCTCACATTTCTATTTTCAGCATTGTTTCGGATAGACAAAAGTGCTGGCTTTCTGAACTCACTGGGAAAAAGCATTCGTTTTGTTTGTCACAGGTAGCATACAGCACAGTGTCAACTTTGAATTTATTCTCTTAGTGTAAAGGAAAAGCTAGTCTGAAGAAGGAAAGCAGATGAGATGGCATCAGTGTATTCTTCATAGTGAAGATAATTTGGGGCAAAAAAAAGTCTCGCATAACTGAGAAAGCGAAGAGTACTGTAGATTAAAAGCACAGTTGCTGGAGTCCGTCTCACTGTTCTTTTGTCCTTCTTTTGTTGGGTAAAGGACATCTTTCAGAAAACAGTTGCACAGTTCGGAATATTGAAGCATTGTTCTGTGCTTCCCAGGCTCCCGGTTTGGAAGTTGCTCTCAGGCTGCGCAGTAGTTGAAACAAGAGCGTGAGGTATATGCTTGCAGTGAAGCACAAGTTCCATGAAGCAATCAAAGACTGAGGGAAAAGATTAAGGATTTAGTATTATGTGGCACGGTAGCAACAGGAATATTGTTTATATCAAAACCCAAACAGTTCTATTTTATCTACGTGCAGACTATCCAGTTTACTGTGAAAATAGAGTAAAAAATCTCAGGGTGTCAGTTTATTTCTTTAGTTTATGGGAAAGAATTAGCAATTTTTTTTTTTCTCTCTCTTCAGGGAAGGACGTCAATTCCTTATTAATGGACTTCCTTCCATAAAAAGATAAGATGTTTGTTTAGAAAACTTTATTTATGTGCAACTGTTACTAACAGGAAGATCCTGCAAAAGGGGAGCATGTTTATTCCCAGTGAAGCTAGCACATTAATAGAGAATGAAAATGTTGGTGATCTGAACTTTTAGAAGGATTTTTCCTTTTAAACTATCCACTTCCATAAAGCTATGTAGAAAAGCAAATACTGTAGCTGTTACAAATATACATAGTTTGACCTTCCAACCCAAAAGACCAATTATTTTTAACTCATTGCCAAGCTCCAGGGCATTCCATTTTCTTTACAGCATAGCTGATCCTTCAGGAATATATTTCTCATCTCCCTGCCTAGTGATTGCAATCAGGAACTTCCATGAAGACTGGGGTATTTTAATTGTGCTTTAGATTTTCTCCACTCTTTTTTCTAGATAGGTGGATCACTGCAATATAACTTTACTGTATCTCAGCTCTCGTCTCTGTGGGACTTCCAGTAATCTCGACCTCCTTGAGGGTGAGACCCCTGCAATACCTTGCCAAACGTTAGTTTCTCATGTCTATTTACAGGCAGTGTTTCCTCCATGTAACTCTTTTAATTAAATCTCGAAAATATTCGTTTCTGTTCAGAGTACATGTAAGCAGTGGTTCAGCGTGCTGAACAATTTACAAAGGAGAGCAAAGCCGAAGAAAGGAGACTTTTTTTTTCTTCCTGGGGTCTTCCCCCCCCCCCCCTTTTTTTAAACGTCTACCATATGATGCAATTTAGAATAATAAGTAGCCCCTTGAAAAAATAATCTGCAAAAGATCAAGGTGTAATAACACTTCTGGCTATGAAATGCAGGCAGTTGGATGACCTGCTATAGAAGCAAGGAGCTCCTCTCCCTTATAATGTGCAACACAGAGTCCGCGCCGTTCAGGTGCCTAATGCAGAACAGTGTGTGACGTGGGCAAAAAAATGAAACTCTTGCACACAATCTCTGCTCGCTGTCAGAGGACTTCAGGCTATTCTGAATGAATATTGGCAATAGAGGATATGGGTGGTTTTTAAACTGGGGTCGGGGGGAAGGTATCTATCACCAGTTCATCTCTTCAGATAGAGTATTCTGTTTGTGCCGGCAAAACTTGGGGCAGCCTTATGGTAGGTGTTGTATAAACTTAGTCTTCACCCCAAAAACCATGCAGAACACACAGAAACAATACGTAATGGAAAACCTGTATGAGTGTTCAGTTGCATAGCACAGGGGGAGGAGGTGGTTGCTGAAAGCTGCACGTGAAGTCTGACAGAATTAAACACATCTCCTGAGGAGCTTATTCCGTGACTCCTGTTTAAAAGAAAAAAATGGTGTGATTTGTCTCATTTCTTGGGAGAATTGTAAAATGCAGTATTTGAATCTTTGTGAGGCCAAGAGTATTGTTTATTGGCAAATTAATTTATGGGAATAATTCCTTTTTTTTTTTTTTCCTTAAGTGTATTTGTGAAAGTACAGAAATTGGAGTGAGGGGAGATGATAAAGAAGGCCTCAGGGGCTTTCTGTAAGAGCCTTTTCTATGAGATGGAAGCGCTTTATTCAAAAGAAAATCATGAGGCTTTTAGGAGAGAACATCAGAATTGGAACTGATGATCGGTGCCTTCATCTGCATAATAGCTCTAATGTCAACTGCAGAAGCCACAAATGCAACTTGTGGACTGTGGTAAATAAGCCATGTGCCGTCTGTTTCAATTGTGGTGATTTTCAAAGCAGAAGCACTTCCTTATAATAGGTAGATACCAAAGGAGGCATCTGGGATTTGTTGCTAGCCAGTCAAATCTGTGCACTTACGAGAGGAATGAGGCAATATAACAGATGTGAAAATTCCAGCATTTGTTCCGTAGTCTTTGATTTCAGCTGCAATATGGTAAGAGTTTCAGTAGGTTAAGAAAAATTGTGTCATTGCTTCTAATGCAGGTGAGGATCTGGCCTCGCACTTTCGGAAGTTACCCGCTATAGAAAAAGGCCCTGAAAATTGTATTTGTTTATGCGTATATATAGTTTTCTGCATGTTGCTGTAGACAAACTAACATAGGTGGCTTGATGTGGGTTTTGCCCTGCTTCGTATGTTCCTCTCTTCTCCATTTAGATCTCAGACTTGGCTTGCTGAGGATAATTGTAGGCCCATCATTTTTGGTCAAGGTCATAGCTTCAGGGCAGGCTACTTGCCCCCAAAGTTTTATCAAGGGCAGTGCTTTCTTGCTACGAATAGCCATTTATTGAAGATATTTGCTCACATGAGTAGAAAAGAATATCACAGCCGAAGAGAGTCAGAAGTTTAGTCAGAGCATTGCTGGCAGAGCATTGCTTTGTCCCTACCTCCAGATTATTTTTGATTGATTTTTATGCCTAAATGAAAATGTCATCTTTAAGGTGATCATTTTTAACATAAACAGACATAAATAGGACTGCCATATCTTTCCTGGAGAAAATAAGGTAACTAACATTAAAAAGGTGCCAAATTTGTTGGTTATATAGATAAGAAGCTTTCACTGTTTGCTGTATGTCTTTTATGGAAACGAAGAGGAAATATTACTTCTTCCATGTTGGCAAACAATTTCTAATACCAATCCTTTTTTTTTTTTTTTTTTTTTTGTTAGTATTTCTGTGCTCTTGGCCACTGAGCTAGCAGCCCCCTTAATTTAGGCAACTCAGGCATTTAGTAGCATTTTCATAGCTTTTATAGAGATGGCTTTCTCACAGTAGAATTTGTATCATGGTAGTATTCAT